ATCGGATACAATTCGGGGAGTGTGCGCAGGAACTTCAATTTAGTTCCACCCTCACCGTTCCTCCTTCGGTCGAATCGAAGATCCGGATCACTCCATCTTTATGCCGTTGATATACCACTCATTCGCACTAAGGTCTTTCTTTTCTCCTTTCTTACGCGTACGGCAAAGGAATGGAATACTCTATCTGTGTTACCCGAAAAGTACCATTTGGGGCTATTCAAGGTTCTAAGCATTTTTAGACATTCACATTATTTTTTAGGCAAAAGCTTACCATCATCGGTCACATCGTCGCTTAAAATCAGGTGAGATTGTGGCCAAGCGTGTGTCTATTATTAAAAAAACCACACATACGAGTAGAAGGTTATAGAGGTTCCAGATATGTTACTAACAACAATTTCGCTAAAAATGTTAAGATAAGGACTAAGGTTTATGATAAGGACGGCAGAATAGGTGTCGGAACGAACAAGTCGTGCGCCTGGTGGCAAGCGACACACCTATCCATAACAGTTGCAATACCACTCAGAGCTTTAAATCGCAAAGATCTTAGGGGCACCCCACTGCGCCCGTCACCCAGAGACATAAGTTGACAAGTCCCATGTGCCTGTAATTTCACCAGCACCCTTACCCTTCAAAACCGGAACGCAGTAATGCTGACGTTACTGCTTGGCGGCAGAAATAGGTAAGGTGGCAGTACTTCACTGTGAGTGTGTGATTTTTTGCGCATATTATATGTACATATCTTGTAGTTTAGTGAGACTAAACTAACTGACCTGAACTAACTCTTTCACAAGGAGCTCTACTGCTACTACACTTCTTAGTTTTATCTTTCTTAAAACTTAGGAATGAAGGTGGACTTTTTTTTTTACAGCAGTGACATGTCGACTGCGGCCGATCTCGATGACGACGATGTAATCACGAAAAAGTAATTTTTTTCCAAAAAATTGTATTTTATTAATGGTATTGAAGTGCACGTAGACATCGTTTAATATCAACATATGCAGATGGACGGCATTCGTTTTGTTTATGAACATCTGGCAACGCATATTTTATCATCTACAAATGACAGCACGATGCTGTATCGAAAACGTCTACTCGAGTTCGGTTGCCTATATTCTGTGATAGCGCGTACGGCATGCATAGATGCGTGTCCACCTTAATGTATAATATAATATAAATAGCTTTTATACGCAATAAAACCGACCTCAAAAGTTTGTACAATTTATTTGCCAAGTTTTATTGAAATCGGTTAACGGAAACTCAGTGAAATTAATAATTCTCCATCCTCGGAGATGGAATATTTCCTTCAAGTTTCAATGGGACTAGTACTGGTAGGTACTAGTCCCATTGAAAGTATATTAGTAGATTCTACTCATAGAGTACAGCCTAGTCTACAGTACCCACATTCCATCAAGAAAAAATCTCGAAATCGGCTTACAAATGTCAGAGTAGCTGCGTACAGTACACAAAAAAACATGCAGCTTACTGGACCCAAGCCTTATCGTAGACGTCCAGTTCGTCACGCTGTCGCTTCCTCGATCTGCCGCGGCGCCTTACGCTTTTGGGGCTCCACTTGGTGGTGACCCTGACCCACATGTTGGTTCAGTCATGCGGCAGACATACCCAACTACATTTCAGCTTCGTAGCTTTTTGCGCTACATCAGCAATCTGACTTTGGGAGCACAGTGTCCTCAAACCATACAGTCAACAATAAAAAAGCTATACTTTTCATCAAAAACATTTAAAAATAGAGATAATAATAAAAGAGTCCTGTCAAATGGATCCATGACTCAAGGTCAGAGGACTATAGAGTACATAGCCCTGATATTTTGATAAAATCCATAAAAGTAAAACACCACTGATGAACAAAAATTTCACACCTGAGTAAACGACACAGTTTAAAGTTTTAAACTTTTAAAAACAACGCAACACACGCATTTTGTTACGTTATATTTTATTCATCAATGATTAATATGTTATTTTTTTATTTTATTGTTATTTTTAAATATATTTCCGAATTCGATTATTTTTTTAATATTTTTTTGAATTTTTAAGTTATGTTAGTAAAATAGAATTGTTTATTGATTTTATATCATTCCATGTTGCATACTAAATTATTTAATTAAAAAATAAAATTAATTAATTAATAAAAAATATTTAAATAAATTATTGTTTTTGTTGTTCAACTTTTGCTTACATTTATGTTACACGTTAAAAATTATGTTCCCATGAAAATGTGTTGATTTTCTTTTACAAATACAACAAAAACAACTCGGAATACTATTACTCATTAAGCCAAAATACGTTGAGTAGGTACATAGGTAATGAAAAGCCATTGCTGCGAAAATTGCATTACGTTTGATTTGCGCAATAAAAGTTTTAACCAATTTGCATTTTAAGAATTATGCGGTTCTGTATTTCTACAGAGTGGTAAAAAAATCTCTGACCATTTTAAAGGAGCAAGGTATTATGGAAATAAAAATATATGTTCGATTTTTCTTCAAATACTTAACAAATAAATAAGTTATGACGTCTCAAGTTTTCCGAAAAATTGTGAACAACATTGACACCCTATGATTAGCAGACGCAGTTGCTATAGCAACAAGAATGGTGTGGTGGCAGTGGGCGGAGTCAGCGCGCGAGTTCATGTATTTGACAGACAAAGTATTAAACTAACGCGCGTTGCGTTAGCGCAGGTCTTTCCTCGCGCGGCGCGACGTGCTAGCTACAGATGGGAAAACTGCTTATTTTTTTAAACGTTTAAACGTTATGCTTTTTATAAAAAAACGCGCTTTATTAAACGCTTTTTACTTTGACGCTTAACAAGTCGTTTAGAAAAACGTTTAAGCGCATAGACTTTATGTTTAAAAAAAGCTTGCAACGCTATGTTGAATTAATTTGTTTAGGAAACGTAGATGGCGCTACTTGAAACTTAGGCACGTTGTAAAAAATGAAATTATTGAGTATCTGTAGAACTGGCCACTGACCAACACTTACGCTTAAAATGAAAAGCGTGCTTATGCGCTTATTTTAAAAAGCAGATTTTTTAAGTGCTTTTCGTTTAAACGCCCACCTCTAGTGCTGGCGCCTATGCGTCTAGACAACTCGGCGCCGATCGCTCAATTTTATTTACTATTTTGAGGTAACCACGCGTTAGAAATTATTGCGAAATATTAACATTAAAAAAATGGGGATTTTCTCTTTTATTTCTCTAATGTGTTCTATTACTGAATCTTATGCACAGGAAAAAAATGGTCAGTGATTTTTTTATTAAATTATATATTAAATTATTAAAATATCGTTATTATGATTACAGTCGTCGTCGTAAATTTAATATAATATAGGTAGTTGTCGTAGTCTAGTGGTTGGACCTACCGCCTTTTGAACAGGGGTCATGGGTTCGAATTCGAGCTTTTACCTCTGGTTTTCAGAATTCATTTGCGAAAATTAATTTGAAATGTACCATGAGCTTTTCAGTGAAGATACACATCGTGAAGAAATCTACATATACCTAATGCTGTGTGTAAAGTTGCCAATCCTCATCGGTGGGAACTACAGCCCACCATGCCCTCTTATTGTGTGATCTGTGCCGTGTAGTGGAATCACATGAAATTATTAACATTAATAAGTAACTTAAGAGGTGTCGACAAAACTCTCCCTGCACATAATACAGACAAACAACCATTTATAATAGTCTGAGATACCTGTTATTAAGCTGAATAACAGGTATCTCCGACTATGATACAAGTATGGAGCTATGGGGCGTCTCTATTTGCCTTAACCACATTACCACATGATTGACGTAACATGTATGTTACGTCTCAGGTTATGTTATTGCTATTATTTTATTTGGGTTATTTACTTAAAGAATATCATTGGATAAATAATATCGGTTTTTCTTTAAAAAGAGTAAGTAGTGATAAAGTATTTAAATATTTTCAACATGGATTTCGCTCGAAAACAACTAGAAAAATATGGGTGGACCGATGGTAAGACTTGACTGTGACTTTGTATATTACTTAAAAAGTTCTATTGCGTATTCAATAAAGTTATGATATTTCACTAAGAATTATTAGTCTTGACGTCTTAACTTCGCTGTTTCAATATGGGCTGAGGCTGTTCCACATCTTCGAAGATATGTCACCCTATACGGAGCAGGTTTTGATCATGATGAAAATGAAAATAGTAATTCGGCCACGTTCATGCAGAAGGTACACATCTAGTGTGTTTTCTCATCTAGGCCAAAATTTACGGCTTATATCTTTGCTGGAAGCAAAAGTTTATAATAGCTGAAGCTTATCTCACATCTAGGTTAGATGTCTAAAACGAATATTATATTGTATGCACAACTGACGAACTAATAAAAAGCTTTGGTAAAATTGTATTGTGAATAAGATTTGCAATAAAATTTTGCTACATTGTGGAAGAACCTGTGTAACAGTCACAATGAATTTAATTTTTTTTTAAATTCTTTTTTTAATAAATGAATCTAATATTTCTCAAAACAGGTAAAGGACTTGGCAAGAATGAAAATGGCATATCTGTAGCTCTAAAACCAAAATTGAAACGAAGTGTAGCTGGCATCGGACACAACCCTGCCTCGGAATACACTGAGCATTGGTGGACTAATTTGTATAATGAAGCTGCTGGCAATGTAGAGGTATTCTATTATTCAGTCTTTTTTCATCATCCATATTTAATTATTTATTCATTTGGAACTCCAACAGATTACACGTTTTTTTAGATTATTAGAAATTACTTATTATTTTAGATTTACTTATTTTATTTTAAGAGAATTACTTACTGTTTTTGATTATTAAAAAGACACGCAATTATTAGAAAGTGTTGTAACTCAAAAAGACCAATTTGTCCTAACCACCCATAAAACCACATAATATTTTCTCGGTAGTAGGTGTAGTGTCTACTCCTACAAGTAATAAAGTGTTGGAGTTTAGTGCGTCTGTGCACCACCACGGGCCCACATGTTGACGGTTGAACACTGACTGCCCCCTCCACACCAGCACCATGTGTTGACTGCGACATACCTTCTGCATACACTACAATAGGAAACTGCAAAATCCACTTGTTATAATTCTTACATGTTCTGCAACAGCCCTAATAAATTTTAATGATAATATAATGTTGACTTACAAATAAAATATATTAAATATTACTCATACAAATGATACAAAATGTAAGGTTTGCAATGCAAATGCTAGGTTTATGCTGTTTTATTAAGTTTGTTGAATATCACTATTTATTACTACCATATTAATTTATTTTTAGTGAATTGATTACTCCACAAGTTTATTATAATTATTCTTTATTTAGAAACAACAAAATGTGGCTGAAACTCTCCCAACTGGGCTACAGAACGAACCAGCTGACCTTATGAATGTGACTATGTGCTTATTGCAGATAATTGTTTTTGATTTTAACGACTACGCTGTAGCACCATTTGTGAGAAATGTATGAAAGTTTTTTTTCACTCAGCCCAGCAGTGAAGTCGCTGGTTCGACTCCAGCTGGATCGAATGAATTCTTTTTATTCCATCTTTCTATTGATATATTCGACCCCTCGGACGTAAAGTATCGTATGTCGAAATTGCCAAGTTTACAGGGAAGCGTTTTAAAGTTCTGAATTCACTGAAACGAACATAACACGTGATTTTAGCATTTCTCAGTTTTATTCGGCAAAGCTCATTACTCACATAGAGTTTTATAAAATCCTAGATATCGGTTAGATGATCTATGGTGATCACTCTTTCAGTTAATTCAGAACTTTAAAATGCTCCCCTGTAAACTTGGCAATTTCGACATACGATACTTTACGTAGGAGGGGTCGATATGTTGTTTGTTAGCATACTTTGAAAACCTTAGCATAAGTGCTCCATACAAAACACCAGATTAGTGTAGATATTTATTGAGAGAGCTGCTAGAGAGTATTATTATCACCTGAAACGTTTTTTTTACTAACTGATTGAGATGAGTCAATAATTTTGAATTTATATTGTTTGTAGGTTCAAGAAAAAAACGGCAGAACAAAAAAGATCAAGGTAAAAGATGATCAGTTCAAAATAACCAACAGTTCATACCGCTTGAACAAGAAAACTGACTCAAATCAGGAAGAATATTCAGATTTCTTTGTAAAAACTGCAGTTTTGACCAACGGTGGGGTTAAAACAGAAAGAGTAATAGAAACGGATTCAGAATCAGAAGAGAAGAACGATAAGAAAGATGTTTTTAAAATGACAGATGAGGAGTTGTTTGCTGCTTGTCAAGGAAGAACTGCTCACAAGTGAGTTGCGTTAATTTTTAATCAAAAACGTTAAATGAATAATGTCACGAAATTTTTAAGTCTGACAGCCATACTGATGTACAACAAATCAAATATTACAATGAATTACTGGGTGTAGCAATTATTTGGTAGCCTGTGCAACACCTACCTTAAGAATACTTACGGTACTGTAATGTCAGCATGACTGCGTTCTGGTTTTGAAGGATAAGTGTGCTGGTGAAATGAAAGCTGCTATGGCCAGGTATGTCGCTTACCACTGGACACGACTTGTTCTTCCCGTCATTTGGTGTCTTAAAAAATACATAATCTCGTGTCAGAATAGGACAAGTATTATGGGAGATATCCTTAATTGATTTGCAGTTGTCTATGTGTGTGTATCCGTGGCATCCGCGATACAGGGTTTCCTTAGTGCGGGGCTAGTGTGTGCGTTATTATTGTTATGACAGATCAACCATCATACAGATGTGGGCTTAAAACTGCAACTTAAAATACCTAATTTTAACTTTCTCGTTTCTTATAAAGAAAGAAACATTTATTCGGCTATTACAAATAAAAATACAAAATATAATAATAATATAAATTTAAATTGAATAATAAACAATTTAAAAAAATTACTACTAAATACATAATACTAGCCAAAAAGGCTACCCAGCTCGCTTAATGCCTGGCAGAGCCAGAGCGCTGATTTTCAGCTGGAATATATTAAAGCGGCAATACAATGACCCAACATTACTATAGATATACGTGAAGTGAATTGTAAGGGTTACCAGCTTTATTACTAGGAATCGGAATTGAGGGAGTTCATTTAGCTGATAAAGAATGACGTGGACATTCCCTACTACAAATCCCGGAACTTCTCAGAACTGATTATATTTTTAAAATGCACATTTTTAGCAACAGTACAGTATGTTGTAAGAGTTCGTGAGAGAGAGTGTAAGAGTTCGTCCAGGGAAATACTGCCACCTTTCCCATTTCTGCCGCCAAGCTCTAATGTTAGCATTACCGCGTTCCAGTTTTGAAGGTTAAGGGTGCTGGTGAAATTACAGGCACATGGGACTTGACAACTTATGTCTCAGGGTGACGGACGCAGAGGCAGTGTCCCTCAGATTTTTGCGATCCAAAGCTCTGAGTGGCACTGCAACTGTTATGGACAGGCGTGTAGCGTACCATCAGGCACACACGACTCGTTCGTCCTGTCACTTGATACTATAAAAACACATGTTATTTTATTGAAATTAGCATACATTTACAATTATTATTTCTTAAGTATTTGCTTAAAATTATTGTCTCAAAAAATAATATTGTAATGTAAACGTATTTAAATACTTTTGCCATTTTAAAAATAAGCATGAGACAACCTTTTGAAATTTTAGAAAATAAACAGTAAAAAAAAAGCAATTTTATATGCATTGATGACGAAATGAGTGTGTCCGTACTAAGAAAACGTTCATACTTTAGGTAAATTAAATCCCTCTATTCCGATCACTGATTATTACATTGACACGAGCGCCAAAACCTTGTTACAGATAAGTTTGCCGATCTGTACCATTGATATATGTATAGGTATATATGGCCATTAACATTTTCCCATTATTTAGAGAAAAAAATAATAGGAGTAATTGTGCTCTATCTCCACATTAAAATAGTGTATCATACTGAATGACCAATTGTGCACAAAATGCCTAGTTTTTCTATGTAACAACAGTGATTTTATCTTTTTTCAGGGGGGCACGTCACGGTCTGAGAGCAGAAGGAAAATTGGCGCGAATACAACGCCAAGAACAAATGTTACTAGCAGAAGCAAAATACAATGGCTACTCCCATGCCAAAAAGAAAACAGATCTATCAATAACAGGTTTGAAAATCGTAGAAGATACTAATTTGAATAGTGATTCTGACATAAATGAGTCAAAAAAGAAGAAGAAAAAACGAAAGCGTTGTTTTAGTAACGAAACGTTTAATTTAGGAGCTGAATGCTGTGTATCTTTGCTTGAGAACAGTGAAAAAGTTAACGACGACGGAAACCATACATTTGGTAAAATTAGTAAAAAAATTAAAAAGTGTAAAAGAAAATCGGAGGGAGGCGAAAGAAATATAGAAAATAGTAATATAGATGATATATCAAAATCCTAGAAAAAGAGAAATGAAATAAATAAAGATTAAATTTCAACATACGATGTAGGGGGATGTACAGAAAACTTCAAAAAGAAAAAGAAAAAAGCAGAATTAATGATTTGTCGTGACTTGAGTGTTATACCTGTACCTACAATAAGTTTTTTAAAATTGTAAATATAAATATCTATATAATAAAAATATAATCTACTTGAAACCATATTTTTAAATTACGCTCTTTACACACATTGTTACATTGAATGCGTAGGGAGTTGTAAGTTTTCGGGTAAAGCTAACTCACATGTTACTCGTTTTATATATCTGGCAGTATCTATACAGTCAAGAGAACATACTGGTATTTTTAATCGTTCTTAAAATGCTGACTTAAATCTAAATTTCAGACAGATCTAAATCTGAATTGTGCAGCTTCACGATTTTTTTATGGGTTCCTTTATGATTCGCAGACTTGGGAGCCAGTATATTATTCTTTTTGTTACTTGACGGCCCCTAGTTTTGTAAGATAATTAAAAATTATGGCGATCGTCGCCAGTGTCAGTGTGATCGACAGAACCAAGAAGCTTGAAATGTATTCAAGCTTCTTGGACTGAACCCTCTGTCTATGTCTAGATTGTCATTTAATCTTTTCGTGGCTAATATTTATGTTAAGATATATGGTCCGCCATAGTTTTTATATTATTTTTACATAACCGCCGTACATAGTAACTTTTAATTGACATTGAAATCATCGATTTTTTCCATAGGGCCATAACATTTATAAGAACTACAAATAAAAATTGAATTAGATTGCCATCCCTGTTTTAAGTATATATAATATAATAGTATAAAAGAGTATAAGATCATTCATCATTGAACGCCATTCAAAAACAAAAACTTCTGAATTTATAACAGTGAATCGAACGTGCCTAATATTCCAGTATCAGTTATCACGCAAACTTGGTATAATAAAAGAAATACATTAAAGGTCAGGCCACACAGACGCGGTATAGCGGGAAAAGCGTTTCGGGGGCGGACCTGCGGGAAGCGAATGCGTGCCGGGGCATGCCACACAGCAATCCCGAGTGTAGTTCGTGACGGGACAGCGGCACGAAGGCGGCCGGTGTGACACCAAAAGCGTCACGCCACATTTCATTTTCAACACAAATAAAGAAAGGTCCATGTCACTATCGGATAGTGATGTAGAAGAACATCTTTAAACTTTTGTATGGGGTGTTAAAGTTACCTTGAAAAAAAATCTGCTAAAAATTTCAAGAAAAAATTAAATACATATTTTTTTAGTGCTGAAACTAGAGTGTACTAGAGTAATTCGGGCTTTCTTTGGCATTGTGCTCATTAGCTGGGCTGTTTCCGGTTACCGTTACAAAAACTAGAACAGCAAAATTAGCAAATTTGTAATTGTAGTACTTAAAAATGGGGTACAGGGCGTACATTTTCAACATTTTTCATTAAAATGCTTATATTACAAAAAGAAAATGACTCCGATTTTTTAAATATTTTTTTCTGGGTAGTTACAAACTAGGCAACATTCTGTTCCCAGGTTATCGTTGAGTTTTGGGACACTCTGTATACTTACTTTGAAGGTTTTGAATCAAACTATTCATATGAACAGAAATTGTTTATTTAAAAACATTAAAAAAATTCTATAATCTTAACACAATTAACTTGAAACTATTTTTTCAGTGAGACTCACTGGGCATTTTCATTATAACAAATAATAGGTATATAAGATTTGTAGAATCAACAATAATAATTGCATTTAACTACTGTACCTACTTACTTTATTATTAACAATCTATATACGTAATTAACTTGAAACTTCTTTTTCTATCAGTCCAAATGGGCATTTTTATTTTTATTTTAATAAATAATAAGTACCTATCTAAGATTTGTATAACACCAACTATTTTGTTTAAGTTATGTATCTACATAAGTGCATTATTTTGAACAATCTTAACATAGTTAACTTGAAACTTCTTTTTCTATCTGTCTCACTGGGCGTTTTTATTTCAACTAATAATATGTATCTATCTAAGATTTATGTAACAACAATTGTATTTAACTTATGTACCTACTTATATTATTTTGAGCAATTTTAACATAGTTAACTTAAAACTTCTATTTCTAACAAACTCGCTGGGCATTTTTATTTTAACAAATAATTAATAGGTCCCTATCGAAAGTTACATTATTATGAACAATCAACAATCTTAACACAATTAATTCAAACTTCTTTTACTATCAGTCTAATGCTGGCTTCCTACGGCCCATGATTTTTTATTTTAACAAATAACAGGCATCTAAGATTTGTAGAATCAACAACAATTCTATTTAATTTTATGTACCTACTTAAATTATTATGAACAATGCATAATTGCAATTATACTTAACTTATATACCTACTTATACACTCGGGAGCAATGAATCCGAGTCACTAACATAAAAATCAAGATCTCAGAACTAACAATGCAAACTTATTCAAACAAAAAGTGTTTTGTAGACCATTCAATACTCTAATAAAAATTATAAAACTCCTTGGTTGCTATTTATTAAACTTAACTGTTTATTTATTTAACTTTTTGTTTATTAAATTAGCATTCATCATTTCTTATTACATTTTTTATGTTATCACAGCATTAATTCAGTACCATACCTTTTGGAATTACCCTGTGTAGTTTAGTCATCAATATATTACAGGTACCATAATGGGAAACACAAGTCTTCAGGAATTAGTTGCAATGAAACTGGGATACTTTCTTGATCGTTATTACTTGTTGTGCTAATTACGGTAAATTAAGGAGATTGTACCGGTGCTACTGAAATTTGATTTTCTTCTAGGTCGTTCAGTTCAGCTTCTGTAAAAATGTGTGCAAGTTTCAATTTGATTTCGACTTGAATTGTGGGTTTCAGTTTTTTAAATGTTTCTGCATAACTAATGAACAGATAATCTACGGCGTCATGTTTTTTTCTTAGAGAAGAGAAGAGGTATCTCACAGTTGATTGTTATTGATGGAGGGAGACGTTTTCCACAACGTATTCGGCCAGCTAACACAGAAATGGCAAGTCTATAGACGTCTCATGCAATATGATATTGAAACGACAATAGAAGTTGTCAAAGGCACGTGTTGTTTACACAATTTCATTAAAGTAAGAACGGTAACAATGCGGTTCAACAGAGCGATTCTCAACCAGTTGAGGCCAATGAACTACTTCCAATTCGTACAAATCAAAGATCGTCTGATTATGCAATTGAAATCAGAGAAAAATTTGGCAATTATTTTAATAATTATTAAAAACATAAAAAATATACTCACGATCTTGATTTAGCTCCTTGGAATTGTTTCCCAAATAATTTCTATGTTTTTATAATTTCTATCACTTGTATTAAATAACTGGGGTATGATTGCACCAATGATATAAGTTTTTCCGTCGAATTCATCTTGAAACTTGATTAAAATCAATTAAAACACATTCCCTAGTTGTAAAAAAATACAACGTCCAAGCCCGCTGAAGCCCCGCTCCGGGATCGCGCCCCGCCACTGACGCGCTGTGTGAACGGTTGCATAGAACTCAATGTATTACAACACCCGCGACCGCACCCGCACGGCGGACGCCGCGGCCGCGGCCCGCGCCCGCTCTGCCTGTTTGTCATGGCGTGCGGCCCCGCACCGCGCCACCTCGCCCCGCGGCCGCCGCGCCTTTCAGTGTGGCAGGGTTCATAAGAACTGGTACATTACAAAAAATCCCGCGCCCGGAACGCTTCCGCGGCCGCCTCTGTGTTAGACATGTGTAAGTAATGTGAGTAATATTACAAAGGTGATATCACGCGACAGGGTACTGTGATATCACGCATCACTTCGGAAAAATATGCATTACTCATAACATTACCCATTACATAGACCATGTCGGGGTGCTCTGGGAGTTTCCCAAAATGAACTAAATATAGTAAATATCTATATTAATAGCGCCACCCAGCAAATTTTCGACGTACTACTTGATCGGACATTGCTAACCGTGCCGTAGGGTTACGTAGCGCTGCTGCCAGGTGTCGCTACTAACACCCATTACGCGAAACAGTACTCGGCGTGATGCAATACTGTGATGCTATGATGCAATGTAATGCTAACATCACGCGTGATGTTCTCATTACGCGTGATGTTAGCATTACGCGTGATGTTAGCATTACGCGTGATGTTAGCATTACTCGTGATGTTAGCATTACTCGTGATGTTAGCATCACGGAGTGATGTTAGCATTACACATTACCCGCGTGATGCATCGCTCGGAAACAGTACTCGCGTAATGTATTACCTGAAACAGTACGCGTGATGGTGGTATTACGGAGTGATGTTTATAGTCTAAGTAATGCGAGTGACGTTGTAACGGTAACATCACGGAATGATGTTTGTTTATATGAGACATCTCGTGTAGGTAATAGTAATATTATGCGTAATGCAATGTTAATGCATCTAATTTGGAATATATACCTAGTAGAACGATGTTTGTATTAGCACCCAAATTATTTAATAACTTACCTTACTATGGTGGTTGGTGTGGGTTGGTGGATGGTGTAATCGAAATAAACCGTAAACAATTTAAACTGAAATCAATGCTTTATTAAATATAATACCTATTACAATATTTTGATTTTTTTACTTGGTAATCTAGAAGGAGATCGATACGCTTTTATACAATCTTGGGCCAAGATGTAAAAGTTGAAGGTGATAATAATAATTAGCTTATGTATTGTTATATCATCACTGGAAATTCTATGAAATTTGGCGATCTGAGAGCACAATTATAAGAGATTTAGTAAAAATGAGGTTATGTAACAATTTATAATAAAATTAACAGTTGATTTTAGGAGTGCATTTGTTATTTTTTTTATATCCAGGGTTATTTTATAAATAGTAACGACAACATAGGACTATATATATTACCTACTGACATGATAGACAACTATCGTTCCATGACTTTACAAAACATAATTTACCAAAAATAAACTT